AGCAGCCTCATGTTCCACGAGCTAAGACCCAACACCCTCCGAGACGCCGTTACTGACTATGGGATAGCCCCAGATGGAAGTACCCTCATCCTCGACCATCATAGAAGTTTCCAAAGAACTCTTCCTAGAAGAGTTACCAAGGAAAAACAGCAAAACCGAGGAGATAAATTATATTAATGAGCATACTTTTTATTATAACTGCAATAGAACGATAAGCAAGAAACTAAACATATTTTATCATTTTATCTAAATAGCAAATCCAGCAGAAGTGCAACAGCAACAGCAACAGGGAGAAAAAGAAAGCTGTGTTGAAAAAGGATGAGCTAATTTTTACTATAGTTGGAGCATATTTTTTGTACTCCATTGTATAGTTTTGACTATGGTAAAAATTAACAGACAATCAAACAATTATTATGTTTTGTATAGCAACACTTACTAATATTTTGTCCACATCTTTTGAACAATCTCATTTGCACAACAAATGAAGTATGTGCCAAATTATATAGAACATCTTTTTGTAGTTTCTTTGGCTATAACATCTACATAAAGGGTCCTGTAAAACACTCTTAATTGTAACTTTCTATTCCAAATATCTTTTGAATGTTGGCTAATAATCGATACTTTGACACTTTTCTACTTTTCTTATTGCTTTTCTCATATAACTACCAATTATTTTTGTTCATGGTTAAGCTTTTGCACCTGTTTATAGATTTTTATATTCTTATTTATTGTCTATAAACATGCTTGATATATAATATTCATTACGTAAAAGATAAATTTATTATTTTGAAAGTTTGTAATAAAAGATTTTATCAAAGAAATTTCACAATTTGCATAAATTCAATCACCTATTTTGAAAGTTTGAAATAAAATCACTGTGATTGAGAAAAAAAAAGGTATAATTTTTAAATAACTTTCTAAACTATTCAAAAATATTCAAATAAGTCTTTATTCTTTTATTGCATTCAATCCAATCCTTATATTTTTTATTTTTAAATCAAATAAATTCTTATAACTAATGATTGATTAATTATCATTAGTTAAAATATCACTTGTCATTTTATATCCACATAACACTAATATTGCGTTAATGTGAATGGTGAAAAATGTTACATGATCATGTTATTATGCCTAATTAGTATGTTACATCATCATCAATTATAATATGTCAATATGTCACATCATCATTAATTATGATATGTTAGTATATCATGTTAGCGCCACGTAGTATAGAATGACAAATTTTATTTTGATTAAATCACATTTTGATTAAACTAATAATTAGTTATAAGAATTTATTTGACTTAAAATAAAAATATAAAGACTTATTTAACTCAAATTAAAAATATAAAGATCTAATCAAATGCAATAAAAATATAAAAACTTATTCACATTTTTCCAAATAATTTAAAGACCTTTTAAGATATTATACAAAAAAATAAAAAAAAATAAAAGACTTGGGCAAGCATTTGTACCATTCCTCAAGGAACAAGGCCCAGTTCATATTTTGCAAGTTCATATCAACATTGAGATCCATAACCCAAAGACAGAAATGATGAGATGCAATCAATATCAGCCCAAAATTCATGTTAGGCTTGCAAATGTAGATGGCAAGTTACAGAGTGCTCAAGATTTTGTATACTGAGGAGAGCGGTCTAGAACATTCTCTCTACTTTCACTTTATTCACTTGCTGCTGCTGATAGATTCCTTCACTTCCTCTCAACGACAAGCCCTCAAAGGCTGAAACTATGGCCCATCTTCTCTCTTTCTTGCCCTTTCCCTTTTTTTTTTAATATAATTTCATTAGTTACTCTTTTTTTTATTGGTTCTGTGTGCTTTTGGGCTGGGTTTACAAAGAAAAAGCTTCTCTTTTTACTTATAAAAGGCTCAAACTTTTGAAAAAGGTTATATATTTCCATCCACATTTATTCATCGACTTTCTTTTCAATCTTGTTTATCACAGAAGATTTTTTTCGTGCTTTTTCTACTGTTTTTTAATTTTCTTAAAACTCAATCTAACACCGATTTATAAACAAAGTATTTAACTTATTAATTGATATATTATTTTTTATTTAAAAAATAAAATTTAAATTTTTTATTTTTTAATTATAAAAAAAATTTAATATTGATTTTTTTTTAAATTAAGAGAAGGGATAAGAACGTGTAACAATTAGAATCCAATGTTCGAGTGCATAATCATTGATTTTTTAAAAAATAAATTTTAAAATTATTTTATTTGACTAATTAAAAGATAATAGAAAACTTTTTTATATTATATTTTTTAAACTTATTAAACAAATTGAGTAAAAATAGAACTTAAAGAAAAAGATAAAAATGGTAGACAAATTAAGACTTTGTTTGATAATTAAAAAATAACTTATTGAATGAAAATTTTTGAGTATAAAATATTTTATGAAAAAATATAATATTTTTTATCATTTATATAAATTGTCAAAAATATTTTTTATTTTTCAGATCATCTTATGAAAAATATTTTAAATCATGACTTATGTTTAATAATTTTTTATCATAACATCATAAAAATATGGCATAATATCTAAAAAAATCTTTAAACTATTTATAAAAATTCAAATAAATTCTTATATTTTTATCGTATTCAATTAAACTCTTATATTTTTATTTTAAATCAAATAAGCTCTTATATTTTTATTTTAAATTAAATAAGTTTTTTTAATTAATAAATAATTTAATTAAAATATCATTTGTCATTCTCTGTCACATAGCATTAACGTGGCATACTAACATGTCATATTGATAATTATGTGACATGTTTACATATTATAATTTATAATGATATAGTATACTAATGTAGCATGATAATATGACTTAATAACATTTTTTACTTCTACATCAACATCATGCTAGTGTCATGTGAATATGAAACAATAAATAATTAACAACAATTAGTCAACTATTAGTAATAAGTGATTATTTGATTTAAAGTAAAATATAGGAATTTTATTGAACATAATAGAAGAAGAAAGATTTATTTAAATTTTCTTGCATAGTTTAAAGACTTTTTTGAATATTATGTCTAAAAAATTAACATTAATTAATTATGCAATACATCAAAAATATTTTACTAATATTGAAAATATTATATATATAAATAATATTTAATTTTTATAATTAATTATTTATCATAATATTATTATACTGATTAATTTATTAAGTCAATAATCATAACTAGAAATTAAAAGAAAAGAAAGATTTTTATGTGTGAGAAGTTTATTTCTATTTTATATAATTTTTTTTATTATTTGACCTTAATTATTTTGTATTATATCAAATATTATAATTCTTTAATAAAAATTAATTATAGTACTATGATTCTTATTAAATAATTAATAATATTTTATTAAAAAGATAACAAATAAAGAAATGAAAAAATAATAATATTTTATTATTTTATTGTTTTGTGAGATCATTAGTGAAAAGAGAGTCAATATTTTCTAAATGAAATCTATTTGGAAAAAAAATAAAAAATATGTTACGTTTTTTCGAAAGTAAAACATTTACATTAACGAATATAAATTTTTTTATTAACTGGTAAAATTTAATTTTATAAAAATGAAATTTCCATGCTCAAACCGAGAAAGGCCAAAAAAGAACTTTCAGCGTTGATGGGTGAGAAACTTCAAGTGGAAGTGGGATGGCGTGGCCTTTTGACGGTGGAGGGCTGGAGCCAGACTCAATCCAAACTGGTACCGACTCTGTTGTGTTAAACACGTGGCTCTGGTGGGCGCGTATACTCGTTTTTAAGGTCTAATCGGCAACAGAATTAACAAAAGTATCTTGTCGCTGTCCGCCCTGGATTCCCGAGATTTACTACGAAGCTGCCAGCGCCAAGATCCTGCTTCTGCCTTCACCACCAAGCCAAGCCAAGGAACAATCAACAATTATATTGTTGTTGTTATTATTATTATTATTATTATTATTATTATTATTATTGATGAGGTGCTTATACTTTCCACGTAGATATTTTTTAAGGCGTAAGTGTTCCAATGCTCTTCGCCCACGCGGCTTGCTTTACAGCCTCAGCATCAGTGCCGTTCCATCTCTAGAATCTTCTGTCACGCTATGATTGACTTTGTACACAATCAAAATTCAAAGTAAACAAATAAAAAGATTGACCGACTGTCCAGTTCATATTAGAAATGAATTTTTTATTTTTTTTTATCAAACTGGAATAAAGAAAGGGGTGTAAGTAGCCCAATTATGTCGTATTTGATGACTCAATCTGCCTAATAAAAAATGTCACAAGACCAATTCAAAGCAAGACTAGACTTGGGTTGGGACACCCGCAAAATGAATTGAATTACTAGTAATTGGATATTATTATTAGTTTCATTTTGCTATATAACAAGATGAATACAATGTTTTATTCCTTTATCAATTATCACTTTCTGTTTTTATTTATAACTATTAATCTTTCTCCTTATTATCATGTTTAACTACCATGTTACAACAACTCGAATAAGCTTTGCAAAAAATATATATAATATTTAAATTTTTTTAAAATTATTTAATAAAATTATCAATTAAATTTTTATATTTTTATTTTTCATAAAATAGACTCTTTTTATTAATAGTTGAGTAAAATGTTGTTACTACGTTTGCTTCTCAAATGATTAAGACTATTTTTTTGCTTCTTATTGTACCCGTATTTACTTTTTTGCTTTCACAATATTTTACTTATAATAAATTGAATAACATTGACAAAAATGTAAACAATTAAAAACATAAATTAGACACTCAATTAAAAATGAGTAAATTGTTAGAGATTGAGAATGTGGGTGGCAAATATTATTAATGAATAAACTCTTATTTTTACTATAAAAAATCCATATTTATAAATTTGACATGTAATTAAGCAGGCCAGTTATTTTTTTTTTCTCACGTGAGAAAGTAAAGCCAACGATCACAATTTACAAAGCAGGCAAGAAGAAAAGGCAAATGACAAAAGCTGTGACAAACAACTACCGTCACAGCCACTCCCCAACTTGCTTGGAAAAAAACAGGGTTGACAACACAGAGAAAGAAAAGAAGAGAGGCCGCCTCTCTTGCTCTCTCTAAAAAGATTTTCATTTTCCCTCTCTCTCTCTCTCTCTGTCTCTGGAAACAGACCCAGAAGTTTTGAACTCCGTTTTCAGGTACCTGTCTCCCCACAAACCATGCTCCTTTTGTTTTTTTGCATTATATTCTTCTCATTGTTTACTGGGTTTAAGCTGTTTTGCTTTTATATTGCACCATTTTTTCTTTAATCGTTTTGGTTCTTTGACTCGTGGGTGTTTTTCTTTCTTATTTTGATTATTGAACTTAGCTTTGTTGGTTCATTCTCAGATGTGGAGGAAATTGATATTCTTTTTCGCCTTTATTTTCATTATATTGTGTTCATCGTATCTTGGGTTTAAATTGTTATTTTTTTTGGTTAAAAAAAAAGATGAAGAACTAGATGGCTTGATGTGCAAATAAGCATTATGAGATTAGTCATGGGAAAAGAAAAAAGCTGCAATAGGACTGCATTTTTTAAAGCGGGGGGGGGCGGTTGCGTTGGCTGCTTATTCTGTTATTTTTATTGATTTTTTGTTTCTGCAAAAACGAGAGCACGATGTTAGTTGAAGTCATTTGCAGTACTTGATTGGTCTATTTGCTGGTGACTGCGGTTTTGTTGGCATTTATTGTTGTACCCTTCCTTAGTTTCAGTCTGAAGTAAGTAGATAATTGCCCGCTGAAAGGAGGGAAAGGACCGTAAATCATATAATTCTCAGATAAAGTTCAATAAATTTTCCTATTTTCTATCCATTGGAGCATTGCATTTTAAGTTTTCCACTGCTTTTTTGGGAGATTGACAAGGTAGAGTAGCGTCTAATTTGTTTTCCAATGGATTTTGAAGTGTTGGCATGGAGTCTGGATGAATATGGTTTATTTCTTTTGACAGAGGAAAAATGTCTTACTTTTCATGGGCCATTGTCACATCGCTTATGTGGCCTATTTCTGTTTACCCATTATGTACAAATGTCACTTTATATGCAAGTGAATATCACCTCCGGGATAGTTGCATTATCATCAGCTTGATGCTATTGCTGCCTCAAAACCATTTTTCTATAGTTGCAACTTGATACCACCTTGTCTTCCTGGCACCTCTGGAGTATAAATAAAGTATCCAGAATGGTTAATATTGCTGGTGGAAATGTCAAAGGCACATACAGTGCTCCCGTTTGGAATTGATAAAGAGGCTTAGAGCCTGAAAAATCTTTCGGAAATGTCCAAGTCACAGAAAACGTTGTTTAAAGGGCAGGCCCTTGTTTATTCCGTTGAGTAGTTTGAAGTTGTTAACTTGTTGTGATTCTTATTATGAATTTCATGGTGCAGAAATGCTATATGATGTATGAATGTAATTACATCTCCTAATCTGGGACGTATAACAACTCCTATACCTCACTTTTCCAGCTTTCAGTGAAGATATCAAGGGCATTGCTGGAAGCAGAATTCTCTATATGATATTCATGTGTTGCAAAATATATAGTTTGCATCTGGTGGCATGTATTGTTATTCTTGATTTTCTGTTTTTGTAGCAAGGGTGTAGATTATGCCCTTTTGCCATTGGTTTGTTTAAGTGCCACAGCTTTGAATTACCAATGTCTTTTTAATTGATTAATACATGTGGTGTAAAACTTTTTCTCTTCCTTGAAAATCTTCTGGTTTGTGCAGATCATGTTACGAGCAAAGCATATTGGTAACCTCTCAAGTAGTGCAAGGTCATTTTTATTTAGTGGGTCACGATGTAGCGCATCAGACGGAAATTCATGCACGTGCCCTGAAGATGAGTCCTGTGTTTCCAGAAAGCGGAGCATAAGAAATGAAGTTCTGTCCAAATCCTCAGGTAGGGGAACCCTGGCGTTGGGGACTGCATCCAAAGCTGTTGGTTCTCATGAAGCTGAGAGAGCACCACAGCTTGTCTCTAATCCTATTCCTTTGCATAGATCTGGCAATGTAAATTATGATGTCAACATTGAGGCTGTTCAACTTGATGGGCAGGCATCAACCCCTATTTCTGACCAATTTGTTAAAGCTGGCATTGCAGCTGTGTCATTCTTGTCTGACATGATGAATTATAAGCTTCCTTTATCAGATGGGGGTGTAATGTTAAGCTTACCGAAAAACTGTGTGGTTGAATCATCGAGGCAACTTCCAAATATAAAATCTCCTGCTGTCAAACCTGTCAAAAGAGAGAACTTTGCTAAAGTCTATCCAAAACCATCATCTGAAATAGCAGCAGGGCCAAAATCAACAGTTAGCTACCATGGTATGAAAGATAGAGGTAGCAAGCCCAATGTTCGAGGTTACAAGCGAGCTTCAAATGCTGCATCAGTAGGTTCATCTGAAACTCATAGTACGACTGCAAATACTGGTGATAAGGAGAAGCCTATGCCACAGAGAGTGAAAGCTCATTCTCATCGCTTCATGTCAAATTTTAACTCCAGTGTACTACCTTCAGATGCAAAATTTTCAGATTCTGGCACAGAAGGTTTTAAAAAATCCTTTAGGGACATGAAAATGCCAACAGGAGTTGTTCCTATGACCAGGCCTTTGGCAGGCACTCGGCATGTCACTGAAAGTGTTTCCCACATATTGCAACAGCTGAACTGGGGTCCTGCTGCTGAACAGGCACTTGAAAATCTCAACTTCTCAATGGATGCATATCAAGCGAACCAAGTACTGAAGCAAATACAAGATCACACAGTTGCTCTTGGCTTTTTCTATTGGTTAAAACGGCAGGCTGGATTCAAGCATGATGGTCATACATACACCACCATGGTGGGTATCCTTGGTCGTGCAAGGCAGTTTGGGGCAATAAATAGATTACTTGATCAGATGGTGAAGGATGGATGTCAGCCAAATGTTGTGACATACAATCGTCTTATTCATAGTTATGGACGTGCAAACTACTTGAAAGAAGCTATCAATGTGTTCAATCAAATGCAGGAAGCAGATTGTGAACCTGATCGTGTCACATATTGTACTCTTATTGATATCCATGCCAAAGCTGGGTTTCTTGATGTTGCTATGGACTTGTACCAAAGAATGCAAGCAGTTGGCCTTTCTCCTGATACATTCACTTATAGTGTGATAATCAACTGCCTTGGAAAGGCAGGGCACTTACCTGCTGCCCAGAGGCTGTTTTGTGAGATGGTTGGTCAGGGTTGTGTTCCTAATCTAGTTACCTACAACATCATGATTGCTTTACAAGCAAAGGCTAGGAATTATGAGAGTGCATTAAAACTTTATCGTGATATGCAGAATGCCGGATTTGACCCTGACAAGGTTACATACAGCATAGTAATGGAGGTGCTTGGACACTGTGGTTATCTGGATGAAGCAGAATCAATTTTTGCTGAGATGAAAAGGAAAAACTGGGTGCCTGATGAACCTGTTTATGGTCTGCTAGTTGACTTATGGGGAAAGGCTGGTAATGTGGAAAAGGCTTGGCAGTGGTATCAGGCCATGCTACATGCAGGGCTGCGTCCCAATGTTCCTACTTGCAATTCTTTGCTCAGTGCTTTCCTTAGAGTGCACAGGTTGTCAGATGCTTATAACTTGCTCCAAAACATGCTGGCTTTGGGTTTAAATCCTTCTTTGCAAACTTATACCTTGCTCCTAAGCTGTTGTACAGAAGCCAGGTCACCTTATGATATGGGATTTTGTTGCCAGCTCATGGCAGTCACAGGTCATCCTGCACATATGTTTCTGTTGTCCATGCCTTCAGCAGGACCTGATGGTCAAAATGTGCGGGATCATGTGGGTAAGTTCTTGGATATGATGCACAGTGAGGATAGAGAGAGCAAGAGGGGACTTGTGGATTCTGTGGTGGATTTTCTTCACAAATCAGGGCTCAAGGAGGAGGCTGGATCTGTTTGGGAGGTAGCCGCACAGAAGAATGTGTATCCGGATGCTGTTAGAGAGAAAAGCTCGTGTTATTGGCTGATCAACCTTCATGTGATGTCAGATGGTACTGCTGTAACAGCACTGTCTAGGACACTTGCCTGGTTTCGCCAGCAAATGCTAGTGTCTGGGATCAGTCCCAGCAGGATTGATATAGTGACTGGATGGGGGCGGCGGAGCAGGGTTACAGGATCATCACTTGTGAGACAGGCAGTTCAGGATCTTCTCAGTATTTTTAGCTTTCCATTTTTTACGGAGAATGGAAATTCTGGCTGTTTTGTGGGGTGTGGAGAGCCTCTTAACAGATGGTTACTTCAATCATATGTGGAGCGGATGCATTTACTGTAGTTTGCCATCATTGTAGCATAAACAGAGTTTTGTTGCGGGAACTGGAAGAGGTTTTGTGTATATCTGAATGATTGCAGCTTTTTAAAATATAATGTTAAATGAGGAGCTGATGCCAGCTTTTGATTGTGTTAGAGTTTAGATCAGCTTTTGATTGAAAATTGTGATTACATAACTGGTGCACTAAGAATATAGGATGTGTGCCTTTTCTCCCCCTTTTTTGCAGCCCTCACTGTAATTTTGGATCCACCTGCAACGAACTACTGGTGGTCGATTGAGCAGCGGATAATTATGGTGTTAATGGCAACATTTTTTGGCTGAGTGGTTCTATTCTCCTACCTTGTTGTCTTTATTTTGGCTGTTAAGCAATTATCCGTAACCTTAACCTTCAAAACACTTGAACACAACTTGTTAAGAAAGAGATTGGAAAAGTCAGTTGATCATGGTCATTTATATCCAGCTTACTTTGCTTGATTCTGCTTTCTGTTTATCTTTTACATGATCCACTGAAAGCAGCTTTTTCATTTTTTTGACCTTTCCCATTTCAACCTATGATTTTAACCTTTCCATTTGCTCTGTTGACTCTTTTTATGCGGACTTGTTGGTTGTATGTTATGGGTTATAAATACTTGGGCTGTCAAGTTTGGTGGGGTGGCTACTAGAACTGAAGTGGGTTAAAGTTGTTTGGTCTTCGCAAGGCCTTGGTTTCCTAGTTGTGTTTCTCAAATTTATGATATTATGGTCTCTATTGAAACTACTTGTGTTTCCAAATGAGAAGGAAAATTTTAAACTTCCCTGGTCTTCGCAAGCCATTGACTTCACAAGCAAAACCAGAGTGAATGGTGGAAACTTTAGATATGGTAGTTGCACTGTTTCACTTGCCTTGCCATGGCTGTTGAAACGTTGTCCAAAAGTAACAGGAAATTTCATCCCCATATTCTCATTATAGGATGATAAAACCGTATTTCTTCCTTTTGACACGTTTATATTTAAATTCACATGCTTGACCAGGGAAGTCTAACTTCTTCTTCTTCTTCTTCTGCATGTGAGGTTGGGGTGGTTGGGGCTTATTACTCCGCCTGTCCCATGGAAACAGGGTCCAACTTCCTAGTCAATCTCTCAAGGGCTTTTACTCTGATTTTGTTTGGGCAACAGCAACACTCTCAATCAAAACGCCCCAGTTGATATCTTGGTAATGGGGCATCCCTTTCCCTTTCAGTTGTAAGTAGGCATCAACCAGAATTGGAGATGTCAATATTTTGCTGGTGTGGCAACCGCATTTGGCATCAAACAACTGAAGATGACATTTTTTGGGTTAACAAAAACCTTGTTCTAACTGCTTGTCCTAGTGACTGTTTACCCGTTTGTGGCAGGCTGCCTTGTACTAAATGAGCTTCCATCTCCAACCTTGCTTGCAAATGGTAGATGGGTCTCACCGAAAAACATTCCTGGCTGTTGGGCAGGGAAAAGTGTTGCCTGATGCCCATGCCCCCATATCATTAGTGTCTGACTTCCCACCAATCTTAGAAAATGGAGTGCATGCAGGCAGCAGATAGTAGAGCATTGGCCATTCTAGCTAACAGTTTTCATTTTCCAACACCTACTCAAATTGCTTTCACAGATTTTGTAATTTCAATCATGATATGATAGCATTATACTGGTACCCAAAAACAGAAGAGAATAGGGAGAACAAATTAATTTCAAGAAATTTGTTGTGTTATTGTGTTGCTATTATCCTTGACTTTGGAGAGCGTAAAGAAGGGAAAACAATAAAAATTAAAAAGTCTAATTAGGGTTTTAATTGTCCAAGTTATGTTTGACAATAATTTATGAAGTAAGAAAGAGGTGAATAATTAGGGAAGATGAGATGACATGATTTGTTGGATTGGGACTGGCTTTTCGGTTTCCTGTTCATTAATCATTTTCTTTTGCAGATTTTGGTTTTAAAGTAAAATAAAATTATTTAAAATTGACTTAATATTTTTAAATTTATTTTAATTATTAAAAAAATAAATAAATTTTTTATTTTTTATTATATTTAATATTGATATAGAGAGTAAAAATATCATACCTGACCCATAAGATCTTATGTGTTGAAATATATATGTTTATTAATTATAGCCTCTCTTGTAAGACAAGTTTTTGAGTTGTTCACCTCCATATTAAACTTAATACCAGAATTTACAAAATTCTCAATTATAAAATTACTACACCTAATTTGGCAAGAGATAAGTAAATATTGAATATTCCTTTTAATTAAAAATATCCATGCTAATATATATGTATTTTATTCCTAATACAGATTAAAAGGTAGAATTACTTACAAGTTACACCTACCTAGCCTTCATTTTGGTGTGAAACACACATTCACCCTTTTATTTTACTTTTCTTGACCTTTATCTTAATATTAGTTTCGGCCATAAGCCATGATCCCCAATCCCCATTAATCCCAAACATTTTTCCCTAATAAACCCCGCAAGTATAAGGAGAAAAAAAAAAGAAAAGGAAAATCAAAACAAGCGGTTGCTTAATCCCCATTTTAGAAGCCTCACCCTCTTCCCATGGGTAGGTGCCTGTCTGTCCGTCACGCTCACTCACAGGACCAACAAGAAGAAGCGGCGATTCTTCCCCAACTCTTAGCTTCTCGCTTCGATTTCATCGCCGATCCTTCTCCGTTACCCCTCTGAATTTCCAACTTTACCCCTCACATTTCGAGGAAGTCCGTTCGCTTTTCACTTCTCCTCTCCATCTCTCCCTCCCAATTTCTTTCCCTCGAAACAAACAGATAATACAATATATAGGATATGTTATGCATGTTGATTCGCTCGAGATAAAATTAGATGGGGCACAAAAAAAAGAACGCTGCTCCACGCTCTAAACGACCGTCGTCGCAGCCGCCGCCGGTGGCTGCCACAACGCTGGTGGATGTCATTAACGATTCAGCTGAATCCGAGCTGACAGGGAATAATGCCAAGATCGAGGTTGCGGCTGTGACCGTTGAATCCGACGCTTCGTCTTCCTCGTCCTATGCGGCGGTTAAGATTGAGTGCGAGCGAGCCCTAACGGCGCTCCGACGTGGCAACCACACGAAAGCGCTTCGGTTGATGAAAGAATCGTGTACTCGTCACGAGAACTCGGCTCATGCGGCCTTAATCCACCGCGTTCAGGGCACGGTCTGTGTGAAAGTGGCTTCCATCATCGACGACCCTAACGCCAAACATCGGCATTTGAAAAATGCAATTGACTCGGCAAAAAAAGCCGTGGAATCATCTCCCAACTCGATCGAGTTTTCTCATTTTTATGCTAATTTACTGTATGAAGCGGCCAACGATGGGAAAGAGTACGAAGAAGTGGTTCAAGAATGCGAACGCGCGTTGGCCATTGAGAATCCGGTGGATCCGGCCAAAGAAAGCTTACAAGAAGAGAGTCAACAGAAAATATCAACGGCGGAGGCTAGGATTTTGCACGTGCAAAGTGAGCTTAGGTCGTTAATTCAGAAATCGAATATTGCTTCTATTTCTACGTGGATGAAGAATTTAGGGAATGGAGAAGAGAAGTTTAGGTTGATTCCGATTCGGAGAGTTACTGAGGATCCAATGGAGGTTAGGTTAGTGCACACAAGAAGGCCTAATGAGATTAAGAAAGCTACAAAGACTCCCGAAGAAAGGAGGAAAGAGATTGAGGTTAGAGTTGCTGCTGCCAGGCTGTTGCAGCAGCAGAAATCTGAGGCAGCTTCTTCAGCACTGTTGCAAAGCGAGGGAGAGAGGAATGGACTCGATTTGACATCAGGAAGTGGACAAAGAGGAGGAGTAGAAAGGAGGAGGAAGATTGCTTCTACTGCTGAAAGGAAAGATTGGGTTCGATCCTTTTGGAATTCAATGAGCGTTGATTGGAAGAAAGATTTGCTTAGGATTAGGGTTAGTGATCTCAAGGAGTATTTTGGTTTGTTGAAAGATGGATTGGCGAGTGAGGTTTTATCAGAGGCTTTAGCATTTGCTGAGCTTAATAAGACTTGTAAATTTTGGGTTTGTTGTCGGTGTAGTGAGAAGTTTGCAGATTCAGAGTCTCATATGCAGCATGTTGTTCAGGAACATATGGGTAACCTCATGCCAAAGATGCAGACCGTTTTGCCACAGAGTGTTGACAGTGAGTGGATTGAGATGCTCCTTAACTGTTCTTGGAATCCTTTGGATATTTCTGCTGCTGTTAAAATGATTGGGAATGAGTCTAACTGCCAGGACTCAGAGTTTTCCGAGGATTTCTACTCAGGTAACCATAATGAGGAGTGTGATGATTGCTTCAAAGATGCACGGAGTTCATCTCCTGAGAAGGAACATTTGGGGGATCAATACAATTGTACTAGCGTAGAGGGCAATAATTGTGACAAAGTTTCTAGCATCGAGTGCAAAGAATGTGATGGAAACCAGGGTTCTGTAGCATATACCCATGGGGATAGTTGGCCAACAGTGGATGATGCTGAGCGCACAAAGTTGCTTGAAAGAATTCATGCTACATTTGAACTGCTTATTAGACATAAATACCTTGCTGCAAGCCATCTTAACAAGGTGATACAATTCACAATGGATGAGTTGCAGACTTTGGTTTCTGGATCTCAACTTCTGAATCATGGCATAGATCAAACTCCCATGTGCATCTGTTTTCTGGGAGCTATGCAGCTTGGAAAAATCCTCAAATTCTTGCAGGAGTTATCTCATTCTTGTGGTCTGACTAGATGCTCTGAGAAGACCGCCCCTGTGGATGATGTGAATCGAGCCAGTCAGATTCTTGAGGTTAAAGAGAAGATTGTTCTTAATGGAGATGCTTCGTGTCTCCTCCTGGAAGAACGTTTATTGCCTGATGTGGCAATACAAGATGCTGCTCTTGCAAATGCTAATGGTAGCAATGGATATGGGTTTGTACAGGATGCTGATTCTCTGCTGTCCTGGATCTTTGCAGGCCCCTCAAGTGGGGATCAATTGGCATCATGGATACGCATGAAAGAAGAGAAAACACAGCAAGGATTGGAAATTCTTCAGATGCTGGAGAAGGAGTTTTATCACCTACAGAGTCTCTGTGAGAAAAAATGTGACCATATAAGCTATGAGGAAGCATTGCAGGCTGTGGAGGATCTCTGTCTTGAAGAAGGTAAGAAGAGGGAGACGGCAACTGAATTTGTTCATCGAAGCTATAAATCTGTCCTTAAAAAGCGAAGAGAGGAACTTATTGAGAGTGAGAATGATGTTATGTTCCTCAGCAGTAGATTTGAGTTAGATGCTATATCAAATGTTTTAAACGAAGCAGAAGCACTGAATTTGAATCAATCTGGCTGTGAGGATACTTATGCTGGTGTGACTTCTCAGTTATGTGACTTGGAATCTGGTGAAGAGGATGACTGGAGAACTAAGGATTCTTTGCATCAAGTGGATTCCTGCATAGAGGCTGCCATTCAGAGGCAGAAGGAACAATTATCACTCGAGGTTTGTCTTTTGCTTTAGGTGCAAGTTTCAATATAAAGAATTGATTCTTAACTTTCCGTTCTTAACTTTTTTTTTGTCAAGCAGCTGAGCAAAATTGATGCACGAATTATGCGAAATGTTACTGGGATGCAGCAGTTGGAACTCAAACTTGAGCCTGCGTCTGCACATGATTATCGATTAATACTACTGCCTTTAGCGAAGTCATACTTGAGGGTTTGTATTAAACTAGTTGAACTTTGTGTGATGTTCTTCTAGACCAATGTATATATCTTGATTAATGTTTTTAAATTCAGGCACACTTGGAGGATCTGGCGGAGAAAGATGCCACCAAGAAGTCTGATGCTGCAAGAGAAGCTTTTTTAGCTGAGCTTGCACGTGATTCTAAGAAGGGTAGTCGGGGGGGAAGCGATAATTCGAGACATGCACAGGAGAAAAGCAAGGATAAGAAAAAGAACAAGGAGTTCAGAAAATCCAAGGATTCAAAGGTATGGTTTACTCTTAATTCTTATATTCATCTGGAAGTTATTTAAGGTACATATTCCATGAGGCAGGTCTAATGTTTTCTTAGTGTTTCAGGCTTCTGGTGCAAATGAGCAGCATATGCTTAATGATGAGACTGCTGAGCAAGTGTATGTTTCCTTCTGTTTTGTCTTTGCAGATTCTCATTTATCTATTCTAAAGCATTCTGCTCTTCGCATGAGTGCTAGTACTACTTTTTGTGTAGTCTAATATTAATGTACATTTTCAAGTGTGTTTTCTTGCAGTTCTTCTGCAGTTGCTTCTGATGGTGACCATCTGGATTCTGAAGTTGTTTCTGTGAATAGTGATGACTTAAAACAACAAGAAGAGGAATTTAGACGAAAAATCGAGCTTGAAGCAGAGGAAAGAAAGCTTGAAGAGACTTTGGAGTATCAAAGACGGATTGAGAATGAGGCTAAGCAGAAGCACCTTGCCGAGCAACATAAAAAAACTAATGAAGCATTTGCAGAGAAAGCAGCAAATGGATTGCGTGATGCTGACTTGGAAGCCGGTGATCTAGACATTCAGGTAAGCATTCCATTGTTGACTATTTCGTTTTATACATGATGAGATGGTTGGTCGAAGCTATTGTGCTGAGATGTGCTTATGCTGTTACTTTTAGAGGAAGCATAATGAGATAATCCGAAAACTATACAAACTCTCTTTTCAGGAACATTTGGCAATAAGTAACAGGGTCATGAACAATTTGGATAGCATACCACTTAGCACTGCAAATGGTTCAGCTGTGGCAGTGACTGCTGATACTTCCGGCACTTATGCAAAATTTAAACAAGGTTAGCAATATAGCAAGGTTTGTGAAATAGGCTAGTGTGTGCCGTAGTGCTTGGTAGATCTCATAATCCTTTTATATTATGTAGGACTATCTAAGGGTGCAGTCCCAGATGATGCTCTTTTTCCTAGTGATCGACGGGCAGGAAGAAGAGGTAGACGACAAAAGAGTTCCAACAAATTTCTTGATGGAAAGTATCAAGTCGTGCCATCTGAAAAGGAAAGCATTCGAGTTGGAAGCTCTCATGGTAATGTGGAAGAGCAAGTTAGATATGTTGATGGTTTCCCCATGGACAGTGGTAAGTTTCGCATACATTTTGTACATTTTATATTCTAGAATGTTATATTTTGCGTTGCTTAACTCTGTGCAAATGTTTACAAACCAAGAGGTCTGTATGAATGGACAAATGGTTCTACGGTGATTGAAAGAGGGTTCAGATATAAACTGTGGAAGCAGTCAATTATACTTTTTTTTTTCCTCAATTTGTGGGGACAGAAGACAAAAAAGGAGAGATTTAATTTACTTTCTTCTCTATGAATTTTGCATGGATGTCTTCAAACTAGAAACAAATTGCTGGATTTTCTTGATAATGTCTTGACATTGAACTGTTCACATTATTGGATGTGTTTGTGCTACCACGGGAATTATATCTTTCTGTAACATACCACTTGGTTCTTGTTTCATTGAATGCTTACTTGACTTTGGCATCTGAGAAATTGCCCTGGCATATAATATTCCCTTGTTTATGTAAAATTAACATTCGAAAAGTAATTTAGACATCTTCTAAGTGCCTTCTTTGTTTCTGCATGTACTCTTGTGTCACGTGTCTCGTGATGTCGTATTGAAGCAAGTGATATTTTGATATCTCATTAGATCTTAGCTTTGACCAATAGGTGCTTGAGCTGGAGTTTTTAAATTTACTGCATATCCTGTCTACACATGTCCTCATGACTATGGACATATTTTCTGTGAAGTTTCTTTTCTGATGTTGCCTGTGTGTATTATGTCATTGTTCAATCACCTATCAGTGTTCCGCTTATTCAAAATGTTGTTCTGGCTACTATGTCATAGTATTTGGTAAATCTAGAAAGTTCAACATGAGGTTGTTCTGAAATTACACTTACCACTTTTTATTTTGGAAAATTAAGAATTCCTGCTTAATTTTTTAAAGTGCAGCAGTTATATCATGTTAACCCATTCCACGCATATTTTCTTATTATCTATAATATATAAGGGGGAAAAGCATATGCAAGCTTTAGAATTCAAGAAATAAAGTGTATTGTTAGTGTCATTTTTTGCAGTTTGCCCTTAAGATATGTGTCTGATTCCTCCATTGACCATGCTCTCTTTATCTCCATGCCATAATGGGTACAGACCATCTGTCAGTGTAAATTTATATTACTATTATTACTGTCTTTAGTTTTATTGTGTCAGTTGCTTTACAGATTTTTGTCCATGTTTTGGGAACTAAGTTGATATGGGTACTTCTGTGGAATTAGTTGCTCCTATCACTGGAGAAGGTGGTACAAAGACTTTAAGACAACTGCAAGCTGAGGAAGATGATGAAGAAAGGTTCCAAGCTGACCTTAAGCAGGCTGTTCGCCAAAGCCTTGGTAATGTTCTGACTGCATTTATTTATGCATGCTTCTTATCTTTATGCTACTCTTACAAGTGTTGTGCTTGGGATTGGTGTCTTGAAACAAGTCACTAGTTGTACTTGGTGAACCTGAAAGAACTATTTTAGTGTATGATTGGTGATTTGTCTTGGGCACTCATTTTCTCCATAATATCTTATGAACAAACTGTAAAATGATTTCACCTATAGACTTTTGAGTGGCAAAAAAAATTTTGGTTTCATCTATATAAGGAACATTTTGCATTCATTATAAGCTGCTATTATAAGGTTTATGGGGAGACAAACTTGGACAGAAGTTCTTTTGCTGGGTATTTGTTACAAGGGTTAAATATCGGAGTCCTCAATCTGATTGGCTAATGCTTGAAATTTTTTGGATGAGAACTGCCATGTTGTGCGTCAGGATTTAACTTGGTAGTTTTGGCTCGATCCTAGCAAGTGTTTATCAGTGTATTTGGTAGTCTATTGCATAGTTGCTTGTAAATGTTAACATGAATGCTTCAGTATGTGCTGAATGAAGGTTTACTTGTATGAATTGGATTCCATATGGTTTAAGCCTAAATATTGCAATTTTGTTCATATAAATATCCACTACTGTAGTTCTATGTTCAGTTGTATACCATTCTTCTATAGGACTGATTGCAGCTTGGTCAGGAAATTAGGCAAATTGTTTAAGCATGGACTTGGTGTTAATTTCTAGTTATCACTTGCCTTGAGTAGCTTGGCTACTTCAGCACATTTGTAACCTGGTGTTATGTCATCTTTCAGACACATACCAAGCACAACAAAAAATGCCTTTGCCTTCAAGTTTGAGAACAGCACCAAGGGTACCTTTGCAAGTAAATAACCACGGTGTCTCACCAAATGAGGTCTCGAGTGAAAATTTGAATGAAACTGATGTGTTTGGTACAGGCCTGCAGAATGAAGTTGGTGAATACAATTGCTTTCTGAATGTTATAATACAGGTTGGTTTTTCTTTGTATGAGTGATTTATGGTCTCTTTCAGCCCACCATTTTTGAACTGGCTTTATATGAAATCTTCTCTTGCTAAATTGTTTGTTGCCTTCGGTATAAGCTCAGTCCTTGTGGCATTTGAGACGGTTTCGTGATGAAGTCTTGCGGAGATCAACATCAGGTCATGTTCATGTGGGAGATCCATGTGTTGTCTGTGCACTATATGAAATATTCTCTGCACTGAACATTTCATCTACTGATGCACGGAGAGAACCAGTTGCCCCTACATCACTTAGAGTAGCTCTTAGCAACTTGTATCCAGATAGTAGCTTTTTCCAAGAGGTAAATTCAGTTTTTATTTTACAGCTTGGCTTTCCTAACTAGTAGATTTCTCATCACTAGCCATAAATTAGGATTTTAGATGGATGTCTGTGTTGGAAAGTTCTTACAAAATTGTAGCAATTTACAGGCTCAGATGAACGATGCTTCTGAAGTATTGGCTGTAATATTTGATTGCCTTCATCGATCTTTTACTTCTGGTTCGAGTGTTTCTGATGCTGATTCTGCGGACAGCAACTGCACAGGCTCTTGGGATTGTGCAAACAGTGCTTGTATAGTGCATTCCCTTTTTGGAATGGATATCTTTGAACGAATGAATTGCTACAGTTGTGGTCTGGAGTCCAGACATTTGAAGTACACTTCTTTCTTTCATAATATAAATGCCAGTGCGCTGCGAACTATGAAGGTATCATCATCTACAAAAAAGTTTGTGCCAGAATTCCTGTTAAATTCTTTTCTTGGTTCTTCCTACCAAATTTGTTTGCCATTCAGGTTATGTGTGCAGAGAGCTCTTTTGATGAGCTTTTAAATCTTGTTGAGATGAACCATCAGTTAGCTTGTGATCCAGAGGCTGGTGGCTGTGGGAGGCTCAACTATATCCATCACATTCTCTCAAATCCACCGCATGTTTTCACAACAGGTTGTCCTTGAAGTTGTTAAATGAATTTATACTTAGCTAATCAGTAGTTTATACTTTTAAAATCATTATCATTTTTGGTCTTGCAGTTCTTGGTTGGCAGAATACATGTGAAAGTGCTGATGACATAGCAGCAACACTGGCTGCCTTAAATACTGAAATAGATATCAGTGTCCTTTATCGTGGTCTTGATCCAAAAAATAAGCATAACTTAGTCTCGGTGGTATGTATATGTATTCTCTCTCTCTCTCTCTCTCTCTCTCTCTATGTGTGTGTGTGTGTGTGTGTCTTGTGTATGTGTGTTTGAATTTTATTTGTGAACGCAAAATTTAAAATGAAGAAAGAAGTAATTATTGCACATTGGTTGTAAGGTTTGATTTTATTGTGTTTTTCATATTTCTTCTGAAACTCTTAGGTTTGCTATTATGGGCAACATTATCATTGTTTTGCCTATAGTCATGATCATGAGAGATGGATAATGTATGATGACAAAACTGTAAAGGTCAGTTTGTGTTCTATTGTCAAGTATGTTATCCAATTTATTCCCTTATTTCTGGTATCACAATCTGATTTTTGATGTCCAGGTAATTGGTGGCTGGGCTGATGTTGTTAAAATGTGTGAACGAGGGCACTTGCAACCACAGGTTCTTTTCTTTGAAGCTGTAAATTAACCAGTTTTGGTGGAATCTTGTCACATTATTTATACACCGGATAGCATTGAGCTTAAAAAGGGTTTGGCATCTGATAGCTGTTGGTGGTAAGGTGTTGTTCATAGTCACATTGCAGCTTACACCCATGCAGTTCATACAGTAAAAGCATGCAAAATTGGTTCAACAGGAAGTTTGAGAAGTTTTGTTACAAAAAAAGAGTTGTGATATAAAAATGAAGAGTTTTGAAATTCAACGAGTTTTTGGTAGGAGAAAGTGGTCTTTTAAGGGAAGAAATGATGTAAGGAAAGAGATTTTGTTTTAAATTATGAGGAAATCAGATAATGGAAGAGCATGAAGTTGGTTTATTGGAACTCCTGCCTCAAAATACTTCCTAATTAATAAGGTGGATTTGGTTGAGAAAAATTGTGTGTTTGGCAGACCCATGAATGCATTCAAGATCATTGCCAGGAGGATATAGCAATTGTAAGTGGGGGAAGTTAGTAGATTCAGAAACTGTGCTAGATTGTCTTTCTTTCCAAAATTATGTCCCCCAATATTTGAAAGAGGTTCTGTATAGATCAACATCAGGGCCCCTTCCCTAGGGTCTTCTACTCTTCATATTCCAGCTTATGGTAAAGTTTTGTTGTCAACCTGAATCCTGATGCTGATGCTGTTGGGGTTACATACATACACACATACATACATTACATAGTGATTTTTTGTCGGATCTCAAGAAAAATTCTAGTTACTTGCAAGTCCTCTCTCCCAAATCCCAATTTCCCTCCTTCAGCTTTGATATTGATGCTGAATTTCAGTCTTGCATATTATTATTTGATATTATAATAGTATCTGCAGTGCTGTCTGAGCATGTCATGCCATGTGACGCAAAGTCTTTCATCTTTGTAATCTGTATTCCATTATCCATTAGGAAGGTATACAAAGAAAAGAAAAACATGCACTGCCTCACTTCCACCCCTTGATAGTCCATGTTTGATCACTACCATTATCTGTTTACATGTTTAATTATTACTGTTGTACTTGGGGGAGAGAGAAGATAAACTAGGGGTTTTTTTTTTTTTTTAATTCAAATTGCTGGGTCGATGTAATGCTTCACTTGTTGTATCGTTTTGTGTTTCTAGGATAGGTATAGAGAAAGGCATAGTCATAGCAGTCTCCTCTCTTCCTACCCTTTCATTCACATTTCCCTTTTTTTTCACCACAGTGCTTCTCTCATCTGAGTTTGGCCATTGTTTCCTCTTTACTTGTATATATGTGTATGTATATACACAAACACACTCTAGTCGTATTTCCTTTTATGTATACTGTTAATGTATAATTTGGGTGGTGGGTGGCACCGCCCGTGCCTACGCTGCATGCAAGTACCAGAAGCGATCTTGCACCATGTTTCCCAGCCACGATCGCATTCTTGAGATATTAAAGAATTTGGATCCTGCCCGGCCATTGGTTCCATCAAGTAGCAAGCCAATGCTCAGAGACATGTGGATGCTCGAGGGTCATCTTTTTCATGCAGTGCATGCACTGCTTGAGATGTACAGGCAACAGCATCAGATTTCTTCCATGCCTGACGATCTGCATGGCCCCGCCTAGTACTAGTAATGCTCTCCCTCTCCTCAATCGAGTTCCAGCCTTACACCACAGTAGTGTCTGCTTTGCACTCTTATGAGGATAGCAACAATAATGTTGGTTATAGCTCTTCTTACATGGACTCTTAAGGAGAAAATTTTGGGAAACTCTGTGGCTACAACATCCTTTAGCCATATAATAACACCAATAATGGCGGCCCAATGGCAACTCAACAGTTTCTGGGTTCCTCTAGCTGTTAATCAACTTGTTTTCAACTCTAATATAGTGCTATACGGTTGCCAGGTCATAGCACAAGAAATGGATCATTTTCTTAACCATCAAACCAAACAAATACTGCCATGAATCATACAACAGATAACAGCCTTTCCCACCAGGAAAGTCTGGGCATTCTTTTTGGAGAAGAATCTGGAAATACAGTTGATTAAGCACAGATCGATAGCAAGAATGGTTTTATTCAGAATGTAAGGTAGAAATCTCAAATGGATATACAACAAGAAGAGATATTAAGATCTTGAATATTCTGACTGATTTCGAAACTCATATGTCAGTAACCGTGTCCATTTTATCAAGCTCACCTTCTTCTATCTCCAGAAGCAATCATCTGGTGGAACAGAGTCAGAGAACCCTGGTGTTATATGAGCCACAGTATGAGCATTTGTGATATAGCCAATGGAAGGGAGCAGTTCCTTTTTTTTCACAGTCATTGCATAGTATGACCTGGAATAATTTGCGTTGTATTTAGTCAAAATATATATTCCATACCACTAGAAGAAGAGTAAGTATGATAGATCGGGACAAAAAGCAATGACCAACCTGAGTTCGGCCATTATATTCATCTGGGATTTTCTCTTCAGCCAACAATGCATCCAACATCCTAAAATAGACCTGCAAAACATCCTTAAGGTTTAAGGATCATTGAGCCACCCAAAGCATCAAGTCATCAACTAGAGACAGTTCCAATGCACTTGATATAATCAAATCAAACAAGCAGCTAAACTGAATCTCCAATTTCATTGTTGTTATCATTAAAGTAAGGACCAGCAAATAAAAGAAAATAAGGAGCAGATAAAAGTTCCAAGTCAAGGGAAATCCAAGGTGACGAAATCAAATAACTTCAATCATCTTAGCAGCTAGCGTGTTGTTCATCTCTATCAATAGTACTAACATAATCCCAGTGCCAAGGGAAGACTAATTGAAATTGAAACTTGAGATGAATCTGTTATGTATGAGAGGAGAGGCATTTTTGCATCTGTAGTTTTCTTTATTCATCGATTTATCAAGGGCCTGATTGCTGATTCTTGAAGTCCGCCATCATAGTGTGAAAAGTTTGGCTACTTGGATATCTTGAAGCAGTAATCAAAAAAATTCTTTTAGATAATCTTTCATGTTGCCAAGCATCCAAAGAAATTATGACCAGCGCGGAGGTAGTAACTACAGGATAAATAATTTGTAATTACAGAAATGTTTTAACTCTAGACAATCTGTTTTAAGCATGAAGCAGATCATTTTGATTCCAAACAGGTTCACTTTAGGGAAGAATTACCATAGCTAAACCTACCTTCATCAATGAAGCACAAATATGAGAAACCATAAGAATTCGTTTCCAAAAGTTGTATCAAATGTGAAGGTAATTTCAGAAAGAAGAATAGATTTTTGCTGACATGATTAGTGTGATATAGTCAGCTCAGCGCTATTACAATAACATTCATTGAGATAAGAGATAAGGAGAAGCAATTTAGTAACTGACCTGCATGTCCCCAAGTGACTTGCTACAGATTGGGCAGGTGTAGTGTGTACAAGTATAGCCCTAGCAACAGCATGAGAAGCAAACAATATTTGGCTGAATATGGGTGAGAGTTATAAGGGAAAAAGCGAAGGCTTCAGAAGTACCTGAAAACAAAATGAATGCATTAAATGCCCACATGGAAGTGCCTTTACTGGAGCCCTGGAGGTGAAGATGTCTTCATGGCAAATAGGACAATTGTCCTCAAAACTCTTTTCTCTGCATATGTGCACTGATAGAGATCGTGACATGCAGGCATTGCAATTCATGCAATGAAAGTAGTCAATACCCAGTCCCTTCCCCACTCGACAAAGATTACAGTAAGGGCAGTGATAAATTTGCCTGTTAAAATATTTCCATGTTAAACACTTCATAAATGTAGAATCAAGAAGTTAACCCTCCACTTCTACATTGATAGGTACTGCACAGTAGCTTTGAAGTTCCCTAGATAAAGATTCATCAGGGAAATTGAGGGAAGAATAATTGAAATAGTAACACAATTTGGAATTCAGAATGACCATAATACTTTAGTGTTTATATCTTCTACTTTTTGATTATTTAAAATATTCATTTCTGAATTACTATTCTCCTTTTTCATTCACGTAAGTAGGAGGCTAAGTCATTTGGATTTTGAAGTGGATAATGCTCGATTCCTTTTACATCTGCTCCAAGAAATTGTTCTAAGATCCCTTGGTAAAACTTAATGAGGTCCCTGATGAACAACGACTTTTACACGGCTATAAATAAAACAGTAAATCATTGAGGATGTTTATAAAATCAACTTGCCCAAAACCACTTCTCTGCCAGTGGGATGTGTATAACATAGTCATCCTTAAAATGTTATAATCTCAAACATTTGGAATTAATTCACTTTTGTTCATTCATTTATGTAAAGAGAGAATGTTCAGTAACTGCAAATGTAATCAACAACCCACCAATGACTGCATGTCAAAAACAAGCATTTAAAATTGTAAAGTAAACTAGAGAAAAAGCATATCAAAGTACATCAAAAGGAAATTCTAATTGTGCATTGGGATTACCTTTGCATAGTAGTTTCATGTAGGGCATATTCTAGCATATAAACAGTGAAAGACCACGTTATATGTTTCAAATGCCAGTTTGGTCATATGGAACAATACTCTTAGAGTTCTGTTGCATCATATTTAGGTGTCCAGTAATGATTTTAAAATTTACCTTCAACAAAGTGAAAACATTATATGAGAACCATTGCAAAGTACATCACCTTTCATCATCAAATAACTTGCATATCCTGCAATAATATTTTCCCATGGATATATCATTGCAGGAAGCGGTTGAGCACATGGATCCAATCGGCTGAATTATCAAGCATTTCATGCACATCATTTTTGTGACAGATTTTCTGCATATATTTTGGAAACAGCAGCAAAAATGTGATGGCGGGAAAGAAAACCAAGAAATTTTAAAGTATAACAGCAAGTATTTGAGGTAATGTGTGGATACCTATCCAATGAATGATCAGCCACCTCATCATGGCAGCGAATGCATGTATAGAGCTGGTTGCAACATGCAGCCAAAAGCTTACAGTTCCGCTTGTAGTGTTTGCAACCCAAAGCTAGTTTTTGTGGGTCCCGATAAGATGGATGTTTACCTTGAATTTCTTCTCCATTATTTGATTTGTTTACTTCTAAATTATATATCTGTTGCTTAAGAATCCAACGGCTGAACCAGTGTAAACTAACGTCAAATTCTATGAACATATAGAAAATATATAAGCACCGCAAAAATGAAAAAATAGATAAAAAAAAATAAAATGTCTGGTGTTAGTTATATGTTCTAGCAGCATATTGTCTCATTTAAGCAAGAATCCTTACTACCAGGCCATGGTTTCAAAACACCTAGTCCCAAGGAATCAGAGTCTTTTTTTTTCTGAAAGTTAGGAATCAGAGTCATTTCAGTCAATTCCTTTGTCCATCTCCCTAATACTTGCAGTAATATTTCCAAAGCACATCCATGTAACTTGTTCATGTCATTGGCTTCTTGATGTCTAGAATTACCAGAATTTGTTCACAAAACTACCTCTGTGAAAATTAATTTAAAGATTCATCCAATTGGACGTGAGCAAAGTTGTGAACAAGAATTAATTGGTTTGACATGGAGACTAATGTATAAGATGATAGGCTTTTGCAGATAGGATTTTCTGTCTACCAAGCCAATTATATGTTCTAGCAGCATTTGTCTCATTTAAGCAAGAATCCTTACTACCAGGCCATGGTTTCAAAAACACCTAGTCCCAAGGAATCAGAGTCTTTTTTTTTCTGAAAGTTAGGAATCAGAGTCATTTCAGTCAATTCCTTTGTCCATCTCCCTAATACTTGCAGTAATATTTCCAAAGCACATCCTAGTAACTTGTTCATGTCATTGGCTTCTTGATGTCTAGAATTACACAGAATTTGTTCACAAAACTACCTCTGTGAAAATTATTTTAAAGATTCATCCAATTGGACGTGAGCAAAGTTGTGAACAAGAATTAATTGGTTTGACATGGAGACTAATGTATAAGATGATAGGCTTTTGCAGATAGGATTTTCTGTCTACCAAGCCAATTATATGTTCTAGCAGCATATGTCTCATTTAAGCAAGAATCCTTACTACCAGGCCATGGTTTCAAAAACACCTAGTCCCAAGGAATCAGAGTCTTTTTTTTTTCTGAAAGTTAGGAATCAGAGTCATTTCAGTCAATTCCTTTGTCCATCTCCCTAATACTTGCAGTAATATTTCCAAAGCACACCTAGTAACTTGTTCATGTCATTGGCTTCTTGATGTCTAGAATTACCAGAATTTGTTCACAAAACTACCTCTGTGAAAATTAATTTAAAGATTCATCCAATTGGACGTGAGCAAAGTTGTGAACAAGAATTAATTGGTTTGACATGGAGACTAATGTATAAGATGATAGGCTTTTGCAGATAGGATTTTCTGTCTACCAAGCCAATTATATATAGGTGAAAGAAGTGCCTGTACCTTTAGATAATTCTGAAAGTAGCCTACAAGGACCACAAATCTGATACTAAAAATTTAAACGATAAGATACCATTTAATGAATAAGGAATGCTTACTACCAACCTCATTAGCAAGTTCTGCATCACATGTGATTTCCTTTCAGGATCTAAGGATGTGTCAGAGAACACTTTTCTTATGGCAGCCTCTAGATCTTCTTGACTCATTGTCAGGACATGCTTGCATTGCCCAGAGTTCTCAGTCACTTGAAAATTTTGATCTGGTTCATTGGTCCTGTCCTTCAAATCAGCTACTTCATTGCTTTTCTTGTCATTGCTCCTACTAAACAGTCCTGAACATTCAGAAAACTTTTCATCTCCTTTAAAAGCCTTTGCTTTATGATCTAAATTGGACATTCCTAACAGCTCAATATCAGCACCAATGGAATTAGCACTTAAAAAATTGTCACAAATGGCTTCTTGTTCATCAAGGATTTTAGGCAAATATGTCGAGATAATCTCCAATGGATCTGTTGTCCAAGAAGGAGTAGTTGATTCCTCTGCTGCCTTGGCTATTTTATGTCCTTCCCACCATTCTTCTAACCATTCATCAAACATTGTATTTCTCGTAGCTTTGTGCCATAAGGACATAACAGATTGCTGTTCATCAGAAGTCAAAGATGCCATAAGCCAGGGTATCATACCTTGCAATATTTCTGCTCCTGTTCTTCCAAGCATGCTTCTTATGATCTTTTCTTGCTCCTCAAGGGAGAAACACTCTCTAAATAAGGGCCAAAGTTCAACTTCTTCGCGATGCACATGATCAGATAGTAACTTATGCATTGATTTGCATGCATCATGGAGATTAACACAGAGCTGCTGGTGCTTCACCACCCTGTCCAGTGTCTTTGATTCACCATTAGAAGGTGTAATGTGCAATTCGTACATCTCATCTAAAATGAGGGATATTTTACTGAAGTTTTCAACTTCCAGTTTATGGTCTATGGTGTAGGAGTGGCTGATGTTTTGGAGTTTCCCCTTTGCTTCCAAAGCTGGAAAGGCAATCTCATCTTCTGCATCGCTGTGGATCTGATATAAGAGCTGTATCAAATTGAAGCGTTGGCGGAACTCCATGAGAAACCCAACATTTTCAGCCAGCCGAGCTGAACCAAGGACAAGGTAATCTAAATCTTTCTTTATAGCCCTATGGAAGAAGAAAATTAGATCCATTGGTAATGGTTCAGTAACAGCAGAATCAACACAACTCCTTTCACCAGGAAATTTTGAAAAAGTGTATGATGCCCTTATTGTTTTGGGAAAAAATATATGTAGATTGATTCCACTGCAGTATGATGTATCAAACTGCTTAATGCCATGGAAGTCAGCAGAAGAAAAAGAGAGACCCTTCTTTTCCTTGTTGACAAAAACTGGTTTAACTAGCTCAGATTTAGGTCCTTTACAAAGTAACATATCTGAAAGTAAGCAAGAAGATTCAGCATCTTCCTCAATCGGCTCAGGAAGAAAAGAGCATCTGTTGCTGAACATTTTCTCCAAGTCCCTCCTGAAACTTTCAACTGAGGTTTTTCCTGAATAACCTAAATGGAACCACTCCAATAGGAGCGATGCAAAAGATTTATTGACCAAGGAACTTCCCTGGTTTATATTCCGCAGAATGGACCTAGATTCATCCTCAGATAAATGACCTGCAAACCAGGTAATCACAAGTTTTAACAACCCAAGTGGCAACACATAAAGGCTCATGCACAGAAGCTGCTGCTGCATTTCTTGGCTGCAATTCTTGCTAATGACTGGGAATACCTGACAAAAACTGGAAAAGTGTCAAAGGACAATGAGGCAAACATTTTGTAGTAATTGGTTAATGACAGTCATTCAAATAAAGCTTCAGGAAGCTATTATTGGAAATGTGGTTGCTATCTAATTACCAAGAGATAAAATTATATCATGACTGAAAACCCTAGCTTCAATAGAGCTCATCTTGTCTTACTTCTGCTATATAAGAATGGTGATAAAATAAACAATTTATACCTCCTTTTCTTGTAACCCAAATTGTTTGTCAACATTCATCACAAAGGACTCCAGATTCTGGAACAGCTTCTCCACAAACTCATTTGTTGCCACCCCCTTTTGATCATTATAGTGTAGCAAGTGCTGTAAATGCTCAATATGACACGCAATATAGAGATGTTGGGTGGGTAGAGACAGCTGACTGTTGCAAACATCAACTAGGACGGGGTAAAAGAACTTCTCCAATGCATTGCTGCAAATAAGAAAACAACTCCTGAAAGTTTAGACATGCTGTTAAAACAAAAATATAAGCAGTGATAAATAGAGGAATTCACTGGCAAAGACAGAGATGTTAAAGTAGGCACCTTGGTCAAATAAAGTTTAAATAAAATCAAAATAAAATGTTTCAGGAAATATATTAATTACCTGTAAAAGATTATGATATCTACAAGGAATTTCAGTTGGAGAACAACAAAATCTATATTTTGAAAGCAGCTTGATATTTTTATTTGATGCAGCTCTAGTAGAATTTCTTTCAAATCCTTTTGTATGGCACCATGCCAGAGAAGAAGACCATCAACTGGATTATTTCCAGCACTTGTTTGGAAACAGTACACCTTCTTCCATCCAAGAGGCCTCTTAATGAAATTGAAATTGAATTTGCCTTTGATAGTGGCGGGTCCATCAAGAGGTCGAACTCCTTTTGCAAGCTCAGTGTGAAACCCAAACGTGGTCTGGTGTTTCTTACCAAGCCAGGATACTACCACCTTCAAAAAATGATTTTAATTTTGTTACCATCACAAAGATTAGCCAAATTGTGTTAAGAATTTAACAAGGGATCTACCTCCTGCAATGATTTTTCCTTTGGTACAACTTCTTTTATACAATTTGTAATTTCTTCTTGCTCATCTGGATGAAAAAAAGAGATCATCCATGGTAGAAAATCCTCCAGCAGAATTATAGGGATGCTCCCAATGAATTGCCACACCAGAGAAGCTTGTTCTTGGGAAGAAAACCGCTTTACCAGCAAAGGGAAAACCTGCAAGCAGTGCATAAGATTGTAACATGCTGGTTAGTCAAGTATGTATTGACATGTTTAGCATAAAGAAACAAGCAAATCCAGAATGAATTGTTGTAACTGCTACTAAACTACCCTATACTCTACTTTAAATATTTTGAGAGTATCATCTTTTAAGAGTTTTTAAGTATTGAGCTAAAAGTTGAAAGATAAAGAAACAAAGTAGCGACACAGCAGCATAAAAGGAGAAGGTTGCAATTTCATGTCCTTTATATCCCTCATTATTTCTTTTAATTCTACTCTCCTCCATTTACACATCTGCCAATTGCCTTAAAGACATGCTAACTTAAACAAAAGCCATTTAATAATCAATATTGCCGTGTTTTCCAGGCTAAACATTTGTGATGACATAGAACTTGCTTATTCATAGAATAGTGGTTTCCTTATTTTGCATGCTAGTTTTGGAAAGGACATCTAATTACAAATGTTAAAGGTATTTGAGTAGAAAATGCTGTCATGCAATTCAAAGACCAACAGAACAAGGGAAAACCGCAATTGCCCTCACTTGGTGCAAGTTGTTTTGACTTCCTTATTTATAGTCAGATGGGCATGTGACAAATGTATGAAACAGTTCGTGAAGTTTTTAAACTCTATAAAAATATAGGATAATAATTTCCTTACAATCACCCATGGACACATGGCATGAATTTAAACCTACATATTAAGTTTAAAACCTCCGCCACTGTTTGTAGAATTATCCTCTAAATTATTATATATATGCATTCAATCTTAACCCTCTATCTAAGTATCTGCTCTACGTGTTTTTCCTTTTTTGAGAATTTAAATGTGGTGAGAGTAAAGTTCTCTCATCTAAAGCAGTTCCACAGTATAAGCCTAAAATCAGTAAGAGTAAAAATGTGTAGGTTTAGCATAATAATTATTACCTGTACAAATATCTCAAGAAAATAACCTTTTGTTTCCACTCCCACAAAAAAAAAAAAAAAAAATCCCATCTGTCTCCTTGACTACCACCAAAACTTGAAACTAAAGAGCAACCTATTGAGGGCAAAAAGAAAAAGGAAACAATGCAAAAAGAAAAAGGAAAAGCAAAATAGGATAACCTGCTTTTCTTCTTTCAACATATGCTTGCAAATAGAAGACTGGATGGTGCCAATGCAAAATACGAGTTCTTGCGATGCTTTGGAGGTACTTTTACTTCCATCGAATACATTCAAGCAACAGAAAACAGAATCGAAGAGATCGTCTATACTTTCATGCTCCAGCGAATATGTACAAGCCACATTTTTAACATGTGCATCCAGCGCTAGAAAGACAACCTGCCACCAATTTTTCATTGATACTCTTGGAACTGTAGATGTCTATTAGAATCTCATACATACATGTGTATGCGCACACACATACATACTTACAAATACATAGACACATTCTATGAAGTATATTGCAAAAGAGCAAGTTGTTTGATGAGTATTAAACCAACAAAGTCATTCAATAATAATGGTAAGGTTTCTTAATAAGTTGAAGGATCAATTCTTTATTAGCTACTTATATGAAGCTTTGCTCAATACTCTAGGAAATAGAAATGAAACTGGCCTAATTCAAGTGCATTATCTAGTTGACTATCTGAATTTATTACTTAAAATAATTAGCGGCCATTTTCATATGGATGATACATATGAATTATTAGATGTGAGAAGTCAACTTATGCTGTGGTTACACGAAAAGTCTTTTGTTTATAATTGATAATTGAACAAAAATGAGTGTTTGTTGCATAATCCGCAGTTAAATTCTTGATCATCTTATAATCGTAAAATTTAAAAAGAATCAGTAACAATTATTTAACTAAATTCCAGAGCCTTCTGTTTGGCTTCTGAGAAATGGAGGGAAAAGGAAAATGTCAAAGATTTTATCCAAAGAGGACAGCAGAACGCTGTTTGTTCCTTTTATCTGAAAAGGAGGAGTCCGGTGTTTCTTCTTGTTCTTGGCAAGCATACCAAACAGAATAAAAATGCAAATACCAGAGCTCACCTCATCTTCAGCAGCGCAGTGATACTTACAAACAAGCTTAAGAAACTCGAACCTTCCAGACAGCTCAACCGCAAATTCCCGCGAGTGTGACTCACTCTTCTCATCCGCAGCAGCAGCAACCGCCACGCGCCGTAGCTCAGAAAGCTCAGCGCGTATAGCCTCATGGAAGTAAACCAGGATAAGTATAGGAGCATCGGCGAGCCGTACACCTGCCAACGAAGGAGACAGCCATGGAGAAGACGACGGCGAGGGTCGCTCCTCCTCCTTGTCCGGCGGGTCTTTTGGAGCGAGGCCACCGCCCATGCACTGCTAAACCACGGCCAAAAGAAGGCAACATGAAGAAGAGAGAGGGGGAAGGGTTTTGCATAAGGGAGGGAGTTTGGATTTTAAGCTTGTGGGAGAACTCAAATTTCTGTTATGAATGGAACAATGGGAATTTAATATAATTTCTTGTCAATTAATCAGATTTTATTTTTGTTTATTTGGTGTTTTATAATATGAGATTGCCACGGAGGGATGACGGGGACGTTCTACCGAACAGCGTTTCGGGGCGGACAGAGGGGTCGTTGTTTTCTTGGTGGATGTGAAAACGGGATTTATGCTTGACCTCATACCGTGAAAACGGGCTTCTCATTCTCCAACGATATTGGATTATTCTCACCTTTTTCTCTTCTTTCTTAATTGTTTCATTTGCTGTAAATACAAGAGGCATTTGGTATCTTATCATTGTATCATGGTGTAATGCAATGATATATACGAAAGATTTTTATTAGAATAATGAAAAAAATAATATTACTTTGTCTCGTATGACTATTGTTTATTTTTAAAATTTTTTAAAGTTAACCTTTTTTAAAAAATTGAAATATCATAATACTTAAAAATTAATTTCTGGTAACATACCTTAATTATAATTATAATTATTTTGGCGTCTTTCCGAACAAAAGCCCGGAACGGACTGCCTATAATCTGGTACCCGTTGCTGGAACGGTGCTTCGTACGCGCCAAAGAAGAGAGTGGAGGGCTCTGATTATTTAAATTTCCCGCGTTGTGGACCAGCATTAATGAAGTGATTAATTTAAGCAGAGAAAAGGGTTTAGGTTAATTTTAGGAAATAGGGGCTTAATCCATGCCGTCCGTACCTTGTCATCACGTGAGGTGAGGGGCGAATGGGGGGGCAGGCTGCCTTTGAATTCTCAGCTGCTGAATTAAGCTCTAATGTCTTTACTCGCGCTCGTGTCTAGCTTTTGCCCAGCACGTGCCCTTCCCATGTCTCCACGTTCCATGCCTTTCGCCTTCCTCCAGCCTTTCGGTGAATCGGCTCCGGCTGACGCCTAAAGGGACAGATGGAGGATGGTAGAGTAATTTGATGAGAGGTAACCTCAATGGAAGGAAGGGCACGGGCTTTCTTATTTATTCTTTCTTAACCTTCTTAATTTGAGAACTTGTTCGGTTCGCGAAAAATAAAATGGTAATAGTTGTTATTTTAATATAATATTTTATTTTTTAAAAAAATATTTTAAAATATTTAAATTAATTTTTATTTTTATTATATTTAATTAAATTTTTATATATTTATTTTTATTAAATAAGTTTTTATGATTAACGGTTGATTAATTGTTATTAATTAAAATATTATTTATCATTTTTATATCATATGACGTTGATGTGTCATTAACATAATGGATGAAATATGTCATGTGATTATATCATTATGTCATGTCATCGTCCATTATGACATGTAACATATCATGTCAGTAACATTAGATGAATAAAATTACAAGTGACATTTTAATTAATAATAATTAGTCAACTGTTAATCATAAGTTTATTTGATTTCAAATAAAAATATAAAAATTATTGAACGTAATAAAAAAATAAAAATTTATTTAAATTTTTTAAAATAATTTAAAATTTTTTTTAAGTATCTATGTTTTTTTTTCTTGTTAAAACTATTTTACTTCCAAACCGTCTATAAAAATATAAATGGAGTAAGTTATTCAAGTGCAACTCAAGACATACACAACTACTCAAATTCAATTTGTTCAATATCAATATCAAGTTGAGCTAAATTAACTTGAGTAGCTTAGTAACAGCTAACAAGTAAGAAGGGAGTGTTCTACTTCTAGCTAGCTTAAAGTGTTTTACTCAAATTATTATATTCTACAAAGTACCACTGAAATTAATTAGAATGGTCGAATAAGATATTGCCATATTAATTTCAGTATTTTAATATTCTACTAATTAATGATTTGCAAAACAAACTTTTGGAGAAAAGAATAATTAGATCACTTTCACTTGAATTTTGTGTATGATATTTGATAAAATGTAGTTTTTATTCAATGTAATTAGGTTTTGTAATTCTATATTGGCAATAAATGACAAAAAATATATTTGTACTACCAATTATTTATCAGCTTTGCATCTATTATACTAATTTTATGGTTATTTATTGGTAATTTTGTGACTTGTGATCTTATTTAATCTATATATAGATTTGTTGTGGTGAAAGAGGATGAAGGTTTCGTGTCACTAATATTTCAACTCCATTTCTTTGGTAGGTTAGATGGCGAGGCTACAATTAGATATGAAGTTTGTTTTTCTTTCTTCTATATGATTGATGTTTTATTTATTGGCTTCATTTTTTGTTTATCTTTTCTTGAAATTTTGTTAATTTTTTTTTATGTTTATTACAATGAATCAATATGAGTAAATTGTTCTTATAAGAGAAATTCTTTAGACTTTAGAAAGTTATTATATATATATTATTTTTATATTTGTTAAAAAACAAAAACTAATTGTGTAAAGCATGTGACAAAAAAACCTAATGGATATAGAAATAACCGTGATTTTGAATTTATGATAAATCTCTTAAACAAAGATAATAATCACATTATGAGTCATTTAAATAAAAATTCAAAGAAAATGTAACTAAAATACATCGTTTTTGACACCATTCATTACATTTGAATATTTGATTGAATGATACACATGGTGATCACATATATATGAAGCATGAAACCTTCAATTGTTTTTGATGAGTACATGACACCTTCATAATAATAGTCAACACAAGATATTACGTTGTAAAGAAAGAGGAATGAAAATGGCCATCCTATCTGACCTCTCTTTTTTTGCCATCTTGCAATAATATAAGAGAATAGTTAGTATTACTCATAAGGGAATATTTCAATATTAGAGTTTGAATTTTCAATTTAAGGATCTCATATTTGAAATTTTAAATAATGGGGAAGAAAGGGGATTTATAGGATAAGGGAGGCTACTATCTATTGTATACCCCGACCTTACTAAGATTTTACATGTACCAAGAATGATACATAATTTGATTTAATGAATTTTTTGTGATTAATTACGTTAATCTAGCTTTTTATATATCAATGGTGGCATGGTTTAAGAAAGGGACAAAACTAACAATATGGGGTGAAAATCAAGAGAAACTAAGAAAACAAATTAAACTGATATTTCGTTGGAGTTGAGTTAGAAAAAACAACATAGTTCAAATTAAATATATTTTTATAATATAATTTAAATTTATTTGTTTTTATCTAAAAAATTTAAATAGTTTGATTTTGTTATGAATATATGTGTGAATGTCTATTATGCTATAACCCAAGAAATTCAGAACAAGTTAAACAATGTAATAGGCTAGACATAAGAAGTATAATCTGATTTGAACTCTTAGATTTGATTATATATATATATATAGATTAAATTGGATTAAGATTAGGATTTAAAAGATTGTTAGCCTATAAGTAGGCCGTCACTTCATTTGTAAATACATACTTGAATAAGATCTTTTTTACTTCACTAATGCTTTTCTTTCATAGTTGTTCTTTCAATTTATATTTCATAATATGTTATTAGCACGATTCTCTAATGTCTTAAGTTTTGGTATTACTAATTTTCATCATCTTCGAGCTTCAAAAGGATTTTAATAGTTGGTCTTTGATTTTTGGTTTAACAAATCAGGTAAGTAATTTGATATCTCTTTGGTATTTTCATTCCCTGAAAATCAACCTTAATGTAAAATTTTCTATCATGTAGTATTTATCATATTTTGTTCCTAGATTTATTAAATCAGGTTGGGCATGAAAATATATATAATATTTATATGATTTGTTTGTTGAATTCCAACCATTGTTTTACTCAATATATATAAATATATTTTTGATACTATGAGATTTCGAAAAAGATATTTTAAAATTGAACATATGAAATTGACTTTGTATGATATCTATTTTGTAACAAGTGAAGAATATTATACTTTAGATAATCTGAAAATACATTTTGTTTTAAATTTCATATCTTTTTGTGGTTCAGCAAAATAATGAGTTATTGATGAAAAATTATAAACTTCGTCCATTTTATAAAGTGAATGCAACATAGTTTAATAATTATGATCATGGACGTGGAAAAGGTTGTCATAATAATTACAATCATTGTGATTACACTAATCACTATTTTAAGAATACCTTTACCCATCGAAATTAGATGGATATTTTTACCCATAGGAAGTGGATGGATACCTTTACCCACAGGAAATGGATGGATACTTTTATTCACCAAAAATAGATGGATACTTTTACCTACCAAAAATTGATGATTAGTGAAAAGATATAAGAAAAAGACAAAAGTGACAAAATAAAAGGAATATAGAAATGTCAGTCATCAATATGGCATGAAAGACCATTAGTTGCGTGTTTCTCATATGTTGAAACATCTAGTTAAACTTTATCAAGCATAATTGAAAGCTTAAGAAAAAATATCGAAATAAATTTTGTTCGAGATGATTTTATCCATGGCCAAGTTGATATAACATATCCAAATGTTGTTGATTTTCTTGTCCACCCTAAAAGGAATTGATCATTTGATTGATGATGAAAATATCCAAAAATGAAATTTGTTAATAATTTGTTGGTATGTATTAGATAAATAAACTTAAAGGAAAGTAACCAAGAGAAGGGGTGAATTGGTTATAAAGTAATTTTTTTAAGATAAAAAAGATAGTATGAATATTTAAAAAACAGAGTACTAAGCAAAGAAAATGCAAAAAGTAGAGAGTACTTAGCCAAGTTTTTATAAAGGTTTGACTTTTGAAGCTTACATCTTATCCCTTGATAGCACAAGAAGTTGGAATCCATTATCAATTGCCTTTTTAATATATATTCAAGTACAACCTTTACAAGCCATTGCCTTTCAAGGATTAAGCACAACTTTTACAAAAGTTACTGCTTTTTTAGGATCAAGCATAACCTTTACAAAAGTCATTGCCTTTTTAAGATCAAGTACAACCTTTACAACCAAATGCCTTTTAAGGATTAAGCACAACCTCTCTACCTTTTCAACAGAGGTATAACTAAACTTTACCTTTTCAAGAGGAGTCATAACCATTAACACTACCTTTTATGTGGAGTTATAA